GGTGGCCATCACATACTGCAAAAAAAAATCCTTGCCCAATTTGTTTCTTATGTTCCTTTCTAGTTGATGCCTCAAAATAATTTTCAGGTGACATTTTTAGTAAATTCCGCACATTCACAGAGCTGGGGTCATAATTTTCACAACAGTCAGAGATGCTTACTAGGCAAAGGAGTGATCCAGAACAGGCAGTTTTATTTTCAGTTGATTAGTTCCCCAATATAAAGAAGCCCTTTAGCTGATTTTAAAATTGCTACCTGTCAGCATGATTCTAAACCCATCATGCAAAAACTAACAAAAAAATATAAGCAGGTATAGCACAAGTCCTGAAAACCATTCATCACTATGGTAGAGCCAGTATAGAGTATATTTAAGCTTTAACAAATTGATACCAAGAAGAGCACACTAAACAGGGCAATCACAGCACTGCTATTAGGAAAAAATATCAGTGCATGAGAGAACCATACCTTCAAGTCCCCACAGACCACACATTCAGCAGCTGAATCTTGGAATCTGGCTATATATATTTTCTTAATAAGACTATGCACAGAGGACAGACAACCATATACAGTTCTTCCTTCCCCTCCCAGGAGGGCTCTCACTGCATTCAAACTACTGCTTTTCAGTAAGTCAAGAAGGATTTAACTCAAGCTGGCTGTCCTGGGTAGTTTTCCCACAGCCAATTCTGTTATTTCAGGCTAAGAAGACATCAGAGCAAAGATAACAAGGATGTCAGTTTAAGTGACAGTAGAGCTGCTGCTGCTCTTTGTGAGCCTCTTTAATGAAGTATTAGATTTGTTTTGGCACTACATCTCAGAAGACTCCAAAGGGCATACACTAATCTAAACTACAGACTACCAAACTCTTGTGAGGCTAAATTTCTTACCAGCCCTGGAACAAATATAACTTGCCAGCAAACAACACATACTTAAGTGATTCTTCAGGACAGCACTGGGAATACTGGCAGGGTGCGCAGTTTTTCAAGGTTTTGTTTTTTAAAATCTTCCTGCTCTATATATGTGCAGATGAACTGGTGCCTTCATTCACAAGACACGTGCAAAAGAATACCACCAGGCTATTTCTCCAGAAACTTATCATTTACACAACATAATGCAATAGTGATGGCTGATACACAAAAGTAAAAAGGTATGTTTGATTGTTTCTATCAAACTGGAAATCTCTCAATTCAGTCAGTTGAACTGAGCCACTAATGTTGGGGAGGCAGAACACATTGTGAGACTGAGCAGTTTCTCTTATGCCAGTGGCTGTCAAGTCTAGTTCTGCATTGTTAAATTAATTGGCTGAAACACCCCTTGCACCAAAAGGAGAAATTTAGCAATGGAAAACAATCATTATATGTGGAAAATTCACTTAGACTTATTAGTGGTGTTATCACCAAAGTCAGAGATGTAGAAGAAACCTGAAAATTTCCCATGAAAACCAAAACTAAAAAAACTTTGACATCTAATACTCCATTTTAGAAATTGCAAATCAGAAACTTGGTTACAGCTTAGGAGCACTAAAAGCTCAAATCTTAAATATTGTATTTACTTTCAACTTCCTGAAAATAACTAAGTGTACATAAAAATGATGCTAGCATCTACTTAGTTCTAATTGAAAACATAATTCTTTGTTTTCTATTGACTCAAGACAGTAGTGCCCCCAAGTGACATTTCATTACACAATATAGTCTTGTAGCAGTGTAAAAAAACCCCAACAGATTATTTTAATTGTTTCACACAAAATGGAGAGAGGATAGACACTTGCAAACAATAGACTTAAATGACACTGATGTTTCCTTGAGAGGGC